TCTTCTCATCCACGGCCTTTAGATTGGGCAGCAAGGTCTCACTATTTTACAGTTGAATGGCTAGATGTAACACGGCATCCATTAAAGATTGGCGGCAAGGTCTCATCATTTTAAAGTTGAAATGGCTAGATGTAACCGTAAGTTCTATGCTAACAGTTTCTTCTCTCTCACGGTATTACATCCACGGCCTTATAGATTGGCGGCAAGGTCTCATCATTTTACAGTTGAAATGGCTAGATGTAACCGGTTCTATGTTAACAGTTTTTCTCTCTCACGGTATTACATCCACGGCCTTATAGATTGGCGGCAAGGTTCATAGACAGTTGAAATGGCTGATGTAACCGTAAGTTCTATCCATCATCCACGGCCTTATAGATTGGCGGTAAGGTCTCATCATTTTACAGTTGAATGGCTAGATGTAAACTGCAAGTTCTATGCTAACAGTTTCTTCTCTCACGGTATTACATCCACGGCCTTTTAGATTGGCGGCAAGGTCTCATCATTTACAGTTGAAATGGCTATGTAAACTGTAAGTTCTATGCTAACAGTTTCTTCTCTCACGGTATTACATCCACGGCCCTTATAGATTGGCGGCAGTTGAAATGGCTAGATGTAACCGTAAGTCCCATGCTAACAGTTTCTTCTCTCTCACGGTATTACATCCACGGCCTTATAGATTGGCGGCAAGGTCTCATCATTTTATTAGTTGAAATGGCTAGATATGCTAACAGTTAGTTCTATGCTCACGGTATTACATCCACGGCCCATGACGGTATTACATTGAAATGGCTAGATAGAACTGTAAGTTCAATAGATTTTCACGGTATTAAATCCACGGCCTTAGATGTAACCGTAAGTTGAAATGGCTGATAAACAGTATACGGTATTACATCCACGGCCTTTAGATTGGCGGCAAGGTCTCATATTTTATTTGAAATGGCTAGATGTAACCGGTTTCTTCTTTTTCTCTCATCCACGGCCTTATAGATTGGCAGCAAGGTCTCATCATTTTACAGTTGAAATGGCTAGATGTAAATCGTAAGTTCTATGCAAGGGTATTACATCCACGGCCTTATAGATTGGCGGCAAGGTCTCATCATTTTACAGTTGAAATGGCTAGATGTAACCGTAAGTTCTATGCTAATAGTTTCTTTCTCTCTCACGGTATTACATCCACGGCCTTATAGATTGGCGAATTTTACAGTTGAAATGGCTAGATGTTTCTATGTTGAAACATCCACGGCCTTTTAGATTGGCGCCAAGGTCTCATCATTTTAATGTTGGAATGGCTAGATGTAAACCGTAAGTTCTATGCTAACAGTAGTATTACATCCACGGCCTTAAAGATTGGCAGCAAGGTCTCATCATTTTACAGTTGAAATGGCTAGATGTAACTGTAAGTTCTATGCTAACAGTTTCTTCTCTCTCACGGTTAAGGCAGCAAAGTTCCCACGGCCTTATAGATTGGCGGACAAGGTCTCATCATTTTACAGTTGAAATGGCGAAACCGTAAGTTCTATGGCTTCTCTCACACAGTATTACATCCACGGCCTTATAGATTGGCGGCAAGGTTTCAACACTTGAAATGGCTAGATGTAACCGTATTTTCTATGGCTTCTCTCTCACGGTATTACATCCACGGCCTTTTTAGATTGGCGGTAAGGTCTCATTTTTACAGTTGAAATGGCTAGATGTAAACTGTAAGTTCTATGCTAACAGTTTCTTACGGTATTACATCCACGGCCTTATTGGCGGCAAGGTCTCATCATTTTACAGTTGAAATGGCAGATGTAACCGTAAGTTCTATACTAACAGTTCCTTCTCTCAAGGTATTATATCCACGGCCTTAAAGATTGGCGCCAAGGTCTCATCATTTTAAAGTTGAAAAATGGCTAGATGTAACTGTAAGTTCTATGCTAACAGTTTTCTCTCACGGTATTACATCCACGGCCTTATAGATTGGCGGCAAAGTCTCATCATTTTACAGTTGAAATGGCTAAATGTAACCGTGTTCTATGCTAATAGTTTCTTTCTCACGGTATTACATCCACGGCCTTATAGATTGGCAAAGGTCTCATCATTTTACAGTTGAAATGGCTAGATGTAACCGTAAGTTCTATGCTAACAGTTTCTTCTCTCTCACGGTATTACATCCACGGCCTTATAGATTGGCGGCAAGGTCTCATCATTTTACACTTGAAATGGATGTAACCGGTTCTATGCTAACAGTTTCTTCTCTCTCACGGTATTACATCCATGGATTGGCGGCAAGGTCTCATCATTTTACAGTTGAATGGCTAGATGTAACCGTAAGTTCTATGCTAACAGTTTCTTCTCTCTCACGGTATTACATCCACGGCCTTATAGATTGGCGGCAAGGTCTCATCATTTTATTGTTGAATGGCTAGATGTAACCGTAAGTTCTATGCTAATAGTTTCTTCTCTCTCACGGTATTACATCCACGGCCTTATAGATTGGCAGCAAGGTCTCATCATTTTACAGTTGAAATGGCTAGATGTAACCGTAAGTTCTATGCTAATAGTTTCTTCTCTCTCACGGTATTACATCCACGGCCTTATAGATTGGCAGCAAGGTCTCATAATTTTACAGTTGAAATGGCGAAATGTCACCGTAAGTTCTATGCTAACAGTTTCTTCTCTCCCAAGGTATTATATACACGGCCTTAAAGATTGGCGCCAAGGTCTCATCATTTTAAAGTTGAAATGGCTAGATGTAACCGTAAGTTCTATGCTAACAGTTTCTTCTCTCTCACGGTATTACATCCACGGCCTTATAGATTGGCGGCAAGGTCTCATCATTTTACAGTTGAAATGGCTAGATGTAACCGTAAGTTCTATGCTAACAGTTTCTTCTCTCTTACGGTATTACATTCATCGCCTTATAGATTGGCGGCAAGGTCTCATCATTTTACAGTTGAAATGGCTAGATGTAACCGTAAGTTCTATGCTAACAGTTTCTTCTCTCTCACGGTATTACATCCACGGCCTTATAGATTGGCGGCAAGGTCTCATCATTTTACAGTTAAAAAGGCTAGATGTAACCGTAAGTTTTATGCTAATAGTTTCTTCTCTCTCACGGTATTACATCCACGGCCTTATAGATTGGCAAAGGTCTCATCATTTTACAGTTGAAATGGCTAGATGTAACCGTAAGTTCTATGCTAACAGTTTCTTCTCTCTACGGTATTACATCCACGGCCTTTTAGATTGGCGGCAAGGTCTCATCATTTTTAATGTTGAAATGGCTATATGTAACCGTATGTTCTATGCTAACAGTTTCTTCTCTCAAGGTATTATATCCACGGCCTTAAAGTTTGGCGCCAAGGTCTCATCATTTTAAAGTTGAAATGGCTAGATGTAACCGCAAGTTCTATGCTAACAGTTTCTTCTCTCTCACGGTATTACATCCACGGCCTTATAGATTGGCGGCAAGGTCTCATCATTTTACAGTTGAAATGGCTAGATGTAACCGTTTAAGTTCTAAATAGTAAGTTCTTCTCTTACGGTATTACATCCACGGCCTTATAGATTGGCGGCAAGGTCTCATCATTTTTACAGTTGAAATGGCTAGATGTAACCGTAAGTTCTATGCTAACAGTTCCTTCTCTCAAGGTATTATATCCACGGCCTTATAGATTGGCGCAAGGTCTCATCATTTTAAAGTTGAAATGGCTAGATGTAAACCGTAAGTTCTATGCTAACAGTTTCTTCACTCTCACGGTATTACATCCACGGCTTTATAGATTGGCGGCAAGGTCTCATCATTTTAGAGTTGAAATGTATATTATATATATATTTCTATCCTACCTAGAGGCGACCGGACGTCTAGCCACACTAATGAGCTGTGATACAGCGAAACGGTCTGCCTGTGGATGAATATATATATATATATATATATATATATATATAGTGCGATGGCCATTTTGTATTTTTATTTTGTTTTAATATGTTTCTTTTCAATTTCGTCATTAGGACAACGTCTGTGGGGGAAAGGGCACCATGATGCAATTCACTCCACCAGAAATTTAGAAACGGCATGATGTACTGCTTGGCATTCGTGCCGGAAGCTTCAGTACGTGTTTGGGTTTGTCCATCTAAAGACAGTTCATAATATTCGGAAAGAATTGACTTTGAAATCTCTTGCATCTAATCTGGTCGGTCTCCTTGTTGGTAAAATCTGTCATAATCCTTTCCTTCTGTTCATCATTGGCAAAACAAGGAGTCGTTTTTATTTTTATTTATTTATTTATTTATTTATTTATTTATTTTGACCTCTCGCTCACCTGCGTTCCACACATAATAATCAAGGTAGTTTGCTGTCTGGGGAGTTAGCTGGTCAGATGTAATGAACGTCTTATCTGAAAGCAGGGAAAAATGAATCTAGTGGATTGTAGATATTAAACATTGTGTGGGATAAGGCAATTGCCGTATACAGCTATACGATGTGGACAAATTTGATGTTACTCCCGTTATGTAAGCGGATGAGGCGATATATAAACGTAAATATCGGTTTATAATTATTCACTGAGGGCAAAAAGCCGAATATGGAGCGGCGCTAAATTTAAGACACGTCCAGTCATGTTCGATGCTAGAAATTTCAAAATTCAAAATATGGCCTCCCTTCACCCTCAACATTTCCTCTCGATGCCTAATTAACACCGACATTGACGTTTATATCTCCCTCACCTCTTACTGCTTACGATCGTATCACGTTGAAACAACCGTTCGTACAAGATCACCGAAGTTAAGGAACGACGAGCCTGGTCAGTGATTAGATGGGTGACTGATTTGGAATACCAGGAGCTGTAATCTTGGATGTAAGGTTGGTGTAAATGGCTTACCATCATATGCCGTGAAAACGCTGGCTCTCATAAGATCACTGAAGTTAAGCAACGTCGAACCTAGTCACTACATATATGGGTGACCGGTTGAGAATACCAGATGCTGTAAAGTTGACTGAAAGATTGATATAAAGGGCTTATGGCGATATCACGCTGGAATATCGATACTCGTACGATCACCGAAGTTAAGCAACCTCGAGTCAGGTCAGTACCTGGATGAGTGACCGATTAGGAATATCAGTTGCTATAATATTATATGTGCGGTTTTAAAGGGCTTACAGTCATATATCGTTGAAAGACAGATTCTCGTAAGATCACCAAAGTTAAGCAACGTCGAGCCTGATCATGATTAAATGGGTGACCGATTTGGTATAACAAGAGCATTAATCTTAGATGTGCGGAAGGTATAAAGGTCTTCCGCCCATATGATTCTGAAACACCAGTTTTGATACATATGACTGAAGTTAAGCAACATTGAGCCGGGTCAGTAATTAGAGGGGTGACCGATTTGTAATACCAGGAACTGCAACGTGGGATGTACGGGTGGTGAAAATGGGTTATGCTCATATGCTGTTAAAACACCGGCTCTCATAAGATCTCTGAAGTTAAGCAACATCGAACCTAGTCATTACCTAGATGGTAAACGCTTAAGAATACCAGGTGCTGTAAGCTTAAATGATCGGTTGTTACAAACGCCATATCACGTTGGAACAACGGTTCTAGTAAGATCACCGAAGTTAAGGAACGTCGAGCCCGAGTCAATACGGAGATGGGTGACCTACTGGTAATGTCAGGTGCTCTCAGCCTTTGATTCAGGCGGACTGAATTGTGTCATGGTGCTCTTTTACTCACAGGCTGTGCCCAACTTCTAATACTGTGCAGTCGAAAAAATTAAAAAAGTCGAATGCACGAAATGAAAAATATAAAAAGGCAACAATTTACCCATCGCACCCTGTTATGTACACGTTATGTACACTACTTACATTATTCGGACTATTGTCCTCATCTTTGTCGCCATATTTATTACAACATTTCGGCCGGTGTACGCACCGGCCTTCTTCAGGTAGTTGGAATGTCGAACTGGACCCTTTATTTCGCTCAATGGGGTAGACTGTTCTAGTTCCACGTGCCATGTTTGATGGATGTCAGTTATCAGTTATCTCCTGTTAATTTTCCCTCTGCAAGTTCACCACTGCCTTAACCGGGTATTGAACTCACACTCTTTGGGTCTTGTCAATAGATCTAAACAACGCCTTTATTCACTGTGTCATGTGGCCTTAAACATGGCACGTGGAACTAGAACAGTCTACCCCAGTGAGCGAAATAAAGGGTTCAGTTCGACATTCCAACCACCTGAAGAAGGCCGGAGCGTACAACGGCCGAAACGTTGTAAGAAATATGGCGACAACGATGAGAACAGTAGTCCGAATAATGAAATAGTGTACATAATACCTGATCTCAGAAATATAGACAGGTCCGTGTGCTAATTAAACTAAGAGTAGACATTAAAACCAATTCTATTGTAGATAGGTGGAAATGACTTAAGGACACATGGCACAGTGGATAAACGTTGTGATAAATATGGCAACAAAGATGAGGACAATAATCCGAATAATGTAAATAGTGTATATAATACCTCATCTCAGAAATATAGACAGATATTAAACGTTATATTTTAGCAGACACGTGTTTTTGAGTAGACGCCATATGTTTTTACGCAAAGTAAATTACACCTATTGGCCAGTGCATTCAAGAATCTTAATAAAGAAAAAGGTCTCGTTGTTTGTATAAGCGTCCGGATAAGTGACAGGGCGTGGGTAAACGTGTGTTATTAACCACTTCCCCCAGAATGTATTACTTATGAAGCGGAAATAATGAATGATAAAATGCATTTATTGCACAATCTGCTCAACTTGAGGGGAGGCAGCAAGAAATGAGATTCTGCAACAAATCCAGATTCTTTTATTTGCAGTTTACCATTCCATGCATCGATAAGTGTTTGCCGAAATTACTGCTACCTGTTGAGAGTGGATTACGTTCGGTCAGATAGATAGATAGATAGATAGATAGATAGATAGATAGATAGATAGATATGTACAGATTTGATAGATAGATAGATAGATAGATAGATAGATAGATAGATAGATAGATAGATAGAGAGATAGATATTAAGAGAGAGCGAGAGATGGAGTTAGCTAGAGAAAGTGAGATTGACAAACTGAGAAAGAAAGAAAGAAAGAAAAAGAGAGGGATAGAGATTATCAGAGATAGATAGATAGATAGATAGATAGATAGATAGATAGATAGATAGATAGATAGATAGATGTAAAGAAAGAGCAAGCGAGATGCTCTGTGGGAAATAGATAGATAGATAAAGCTAGAGAACGTGAAATGGACAAAATTAGAAAGAAAAAAGAAAAAAAGAAAGAAAGAAAGAAATAGAAAGAAAGAAAGAAGAAGAAAGAAAGAAAAAGAAATCGGGAGACAGTGATAGACATTATCAAAGATAGATGCAAGAGAAAGCAAAGAGATGATCATATTAAGAGAGATACATAGCTAGATATAAAGAGAGATATAATCATAGATAGATAGATAGATAGATAGATAGATAGATAGATAGATAGATAGATAGATAGATAGATAAAAAAAATGAAATGCAATGTCAATCGCTATCTACTCCTCTTGATTGGTCTTTCCTCTTCCCGTTCGTTATTAATGTTTCTGTTCCTAATTCTTCCATACCCTGTTTACCCCTTGTTGTCTTTTAGTGGTTTTTCTGTCTTGCATAGAGTGATAGGGATTAAAGGATAGATAGATAGATAGATAGATAGATAGATAGATAGATAGATAGATAAAGCTAGAGAACGTGAAATGGACAAAATGAGAAAGAAAAAAAGAAAAAAAGAAAGAAAGAAATAAAGAAATAGAAAGAAAGAAGAAGAAAGAAAGAAAAAGAAATCGGGAGACAGTGATAGACATTATCAAAGATAGATGCAAGAGAAAGCAAAGAAATGATCATCTTAAGAGAGATATATAGAGATGATCAGAGATACATAGCTAGATATAAAGAGAGATATGATCAGAGTGAGATAGATAGATAGATAGATAGATAGATAGATAGATAGATAGATAGATAGATAGATGAACAAAAAGGGCTAGCTAGCTAGCGAGATAGAGAGATAGGAAAAGACTGATAGATAATGAACAAAACTGAGATAGATAGATAGATAGATAGATAGATAGATAGATAGATAGATAGATAGATAGATAGATGAAAAAAATTAAAGCCAATCGCTATTTACTTTCCTCCTGATTCATTTCTTCTTCCGGTTCGTTATTAATGTTTCTATTCCTAATTCTTCCATCCCCAGTTTACCCCTTGTTGCCTCTTAGTGGTTTTTCTGTCTTGCATAGAGTGATAGGGATTAAAGGATAGATAGATAGATAGATAGATAGATAGATAGATAGATAGATAGATAGACAGAAAATGAACAAAATGAGATAGATAGATAGATAGATAGATAGATAGATAGATAGATAGATAGATAGAAGCGATATTATTTACTAGGTGAAGGCTTGGCTTCCTAGGCGCATCTTCATCTCCTGACAAAAGATGGGACACGCTTCGGCCATTGCTATGCGAATGACTGTTTCATGAGAGAAACATGACATTTATTCGAATAGTAATAGCTGAGGGTTCCGAAAGCAACACAGATTCCGAACTGGAAGTTTGATGGCCGGAGAAACATCCGGGACCTCCGGATTTGCAACGAAGGCAAATGTGACTGGACTTTATGGCTACGTTATTCAACGTATTATTATTATTATTATTATTATTATTATTATAACTAGTACTATTGCCTTTTGTTATTGAATAATAAAAGTGGTTTCTTCGCCTCGAATGTCACTAGATTGTATGGGTTTTTCACTTGGAGTGGTAGCATGAGTCCTAAAATCCAATTTGACAGTACAACACAGAAGAAAAGCATGAAAATGAATAATTGCATCGAAAGGGGAAAAGATCGAGTCATTAAACATGGATTGAAAGAAAGAAAGAAAGAAAGAAAGAAAGAAAGAAAGAAAGAAAGAAAGATGGGAACATAGTGAAAAAAAGAAAGAAAGACAAAGAAAGAAGGGAACGATAGATAGATCTATCTATTTATTTTGTTAGAAAGAAAGAAAGAAAGAAAGAAACAAACAAACAAACAAATGACCCGAAAGAGAGAAAGAAAGATGTGAGCATAACGAAAGAAAGAAAGAAAGAAAGAAAGAATAAGAATAAGGAGAAAAAAGAAGAAGCGTTTCAAATAGATATGAATAGACAACGAATGAAAGAAATAAAGAAAGAAAGAAAGAAAGAAGAAGAAGAAGAAGAAGAAGAAGAAGAAGAAGAAGAAGATGATGATGATAATGACGATGAAGACGAAAAAGAAAAAGAAGCTTTTGAAAAAGAGGTGGTGAATAAACAGCGGCTGAAAGAATAAAAGAAAGAAAGAAAGAAAGAAAGAAAGAAAGAAAGAAAGAAAGAAAGAAAGAAAGAAGAACAAGACGATAACGATGGAGAAGAAAAGGAAGAAGACAAAAAGGAAGAACAACAGCAAAGAAGAAGTTTTTGAAGAAGATTCGGTGAATAAAAAGCGTTTGAAAGAAAGGAAGAAATAAAAAGAAGAAAAAGCGTTTGAAATTGATAAAAAGTCTGTGAAAGAAAATCTTTCGTTTTCTTCTTTCTTTCTTCTTCTTCTTCTTTCTTTATTTCTTTCTTCTTCTTCTTTCATCTTCTTTCTTCTTCTTCTTCAGAAACATAGATGATATATCTTTTTCTTTTTGCACAAAAATAATGTTTCTTATCTTCTTCTTTTACACAAATTTCTTTTTTCGGTTTCTTTTTCATACCAAAAATTATGTTTCTCCTCCTCTCTTACTACACCTCCTCCTCCTCACCTCCTTATTCTTATTCTTCTTCTTCTTCACGTACAAATATTATTTCCTCTTCTTCTTGCACAGAAATATGTTTCTTTTTGTAACGAACCATCTTCATTCCCTTCAACCTCAAGCCACTTCCTCCTGTCGAACAGACTGCCAAGAGCTTACTTCACCGATCACTACAACATTAACTTGTTCAAGTCTAGGGTTAAAAATGTATGTCCGCACATATCCGCATAAGGTTTACTTCTTTTTCTGTAACACTCTACCTCGAGTGACCCCCGAGCCTTGTATGGAGTGAACACCACTGTAAAAAGAATACCGAACAAAGGAAAATTGCGAATTAGATATAATCATCATATTTAAAACCATAACAAAAAAATAAAAATAAAAATGCTCCGATCAATCAACATATACAGGAGTTGGACAAAATAATTGGAACAGTTGCAAAATCCACTTCTATATTTCAAAGACCTATTATATTAAGAACTTTAACTAAAACTTCTTAATTGCAGGGGATATCTATTGTAAATACATATATTTATCTAATTTACTGTCTTTGTTTTATTTATTTTTAGAATTTAGTAAAATTTAAGCGAAATGCGTGACCTCTCCGAGTTCGAAAAAGAGCAAATTGTTAGAGCTCACATGGCAGGAGCCTCGATCACTAAGGTTGCTGAACTGTTTGGTTTTTCAAGAGCTACCATATCAAGAACACTGATGCAATTCGAGAAACAAGGCAAGACCTCTCACAACCGTAGCAATTCGGGCTTCATTGTCTTGTTTTGGATGAAATGATTAAAAATAGCAACGTTTTCATATCTATTAATCTATCGTATTAATCTTAGCTTATGGAAAAATACGATAAAGGAAGAGAATTCAATAAGACAGAATATGGCGATTGACGTTGAATTAAAATGTTTCTTTTGCTAGCGATCATGGATTCTGTCATCTTGCATTTTGTGATTAGTCCTTTCATCTCGCTTTCCTGTCAACAAAGATCTTCAAAAATGTAAATTCAGCATCAATTGTTTGTTTTGAACCCTGTTCTTTTATTATCCTCTCTGTGTTTTTTCCTATCTTACACCTTGCATCTTAGTGGCTTTATTGCCTTGTTTAGGAAGTAATGATTAAAAGGTCAATGTTTTTATTTAATCATTTCACTCCAAGTAAGGCAACAATGCCACTAAGACGCATGGGGTTGCGAGGGGATAAAATTGAAAGGGCATGAGAAGATTGAAAATAGAAAATGCGATAAAGGAAGAGGGTTCAAGATGACAGAAGATTATATTTAGCAGGGAGGCAAGAAATGGGGAGGGGGAGACCCACGGGTTAGGGAAGTATGAGAAAAGAAACAGTTCGAGTAGAATTGGCGTTTGCATCTAGATAATTCAACGGTAAAATGGTGAAACCTAGATACCAATCTAGTTGCACGTTTAAATTAATGTTGTGGAGACACCAGGGATAAAAGCTCATCGTAGCAGTTACTATAAAAAAAAAAACCAGAGGGGGGGTGAAGTCACCAGGGAAAAAGCTCATCCTAGAATTTACTATAAAAATGTCAGGGGGAAGTGACGTCACCAGGGGAAAAAGCTCATCCTAGCAGTTAATATAAAAATGTCAGAGGAAAAAAAAAAGCTCATCCTAGAATAAAAATGTTTACTATAGCTCATCCTAGAATTTGTATAAAATGTCAGAGGGAAGTGACATCACCAGGGGAAAAATCATCCTAGGGGAAAAGTGACGTCATCTGAGGAAAAAAGCTCATCTAGTTACTATAAAAAAAAAAGTCAGAGGAAGACGTCACCTGGGGAAAAAGTTCATCCTAGCATTTACTATAAAAATGTCAGAGGGAAGCGTCACTAGGGGAAAATCTCATCCTAGAATTTACTAAAAAATGTCAAAAAAGTGACGTCATCCTAAAAATCTCATTTACTATTAAAAAAGTCAGAGGAAGTGACGTCACCAGGGGGAAAATCTCATCCTAGCATTTAATATAAAATGTCAGAAGTGACGTCACCAGGAAAACAAGCTCATCGTAAAACTAAAAAAAATGTCAGAGGGAAGTGACGTCACTAGGGGAAAAAATCCATCCTAGAATTTACTATAAAAAAAGTCAGAGGGAGGTGACGTCACCAGGGGAAAATCTCATCCTAGAAGGTACTAAAAAATATCAATGGGAAGTGACGTCACCAGGGGAAAAATCTCATCCTAGCATTTAATATAAAAATGTCAGGGGGAAGTGACGTCTCTAGGAAATAGCTCATTCTAGAATTTGCTATAAAAATGTCAGAGGGAAGGACGTCAAAAAAAATCTCATCCTAGAAGTTACTAAAAATGTCAATGGAAGTGACGTCACGTGGGTAAAAATGTCATCGTTGCAGTTACTATAAAAAAAAAGTCAGAGGGAAGTGACGTCACTAGGGGAAATAGCTCATCCTAGAATTTGCTATAAAAATGTCAGAGGGAAGTGACGTCACCAGGGGAAAATCTCATCCTAGAATTTACTAAAAAATGTCAATGGGAAGTGACGTCACGTGGGTAAAAATCTCATCGTTGCAGTTACTATAAAAAAAAGTCAGAGGGAAGTGACGTCACCAGGGGAAAAATCTCATCCTAGCATTTAATATAAAAATGTCAGAGGGAAGTGACGTCACCAGGAAAACAAGCTCATCGTAGCAGTTACTATAAAAAAATGTCAGAGGGAAGTGACGTCACTAGGGGAAAAAGCTCATCCTAGAATTTACTATAAAAATGTCAGAGGGAAGTGACGTAACTAGGGGAAAATCTCATCATAGAAGTTACTAAAAAATATCAATGGGAAGTGACGTCACCTGGGGAAAAAAGCTCATCCTAGCTGTTACTATAAAAATGTCAATGGGAAGTGACGTCATCAGGGGAAAAAGCTCATCCTAGCAATTACTATAAAAAAATGTCAAAAGAAAGCGACGTTGAATGATGTTGACTGAAGTTGAGATGCCTGTTCAGGGTGTCCGAAGTTCCAACATATCGATGATTCATTTACGATCGAAACCATTCATGTATCATGAAACCCAATTCTTCCCGGTAGCATTACGGCTGAACTCTAAATGACGCTGGACAGAGATATATATATATATATATATATATATATATATATATATATATATATATATATATATATATATAATAATAATAATATCAATTGAAGTAGCATGCCGGAATATCGAATCCCTATGAAATAGTTGGCAAAATAAGTGATCTAACAGAAAGCGGAAGTTGAGTAATAAATACTTCCGGTTTTTTCCCACCCAAAACACTGCTTTCGCATCATCCATCAATGTCCATTTTGATCTCAGCTCGTATTCAAGTCACATCAGCTGCCTAAAACCAGAATTGTCGGTTAAGCAGTAAGAGGAAGAGAAAGAGTTGAAAGAAAATGGCCGGCTGATTAACGGTGGCAATGGAAAGTGTGTTGAAGAAGTGAAGGGAAAACCATAATGGCGGGATCAAATGTCAATTAAGTTTATTCATAGACTGAACACGACGTGTTATTTCACAAAAGAAAGTGTATATCTGCCCCATGTTTTTGTTTTTCGTTTTTTTTTCGAAAGAGGCTGCCGATCTGCATAATATGCTTTTCCATGGAAGCTGTTCAGGGTAAAATTTGTTTGGTTGATTTTGTTTGACGGTATATCAACCTCTATCGGTTATTTAATGCCAAAATGTATAAATTTGGAACACAATAGATAGATAATGAATAAAATATGATAGATAGATAGATAATGTGCAGACTGAGATAGATAGATAGATAGATAGATAGATAGATAGATAGATAGATAGATAGATACCAACAGGCTAGATAGACAGAAAGATATTTATATACATATTAATATTTACATACATTATTAATGCTCTGTAAATTTACATTGAGCACTATTTTGTAAAAAAATAAAAATATCTATAAGAACACCGGATTTTATATCTTACTGTTCTTTCTTTTTATTTATATACATACATATATATATATATATATATATATATATATATATATATATATATATATATATATATATATATATATAAAGATAGATATGACGTGACTAATAGATAGATAGATAATGAACAGACTGAGATAGATAGATAGATAGATAGATAGATAGATAGATAGATACCAACAGGCTGATATATATATATATATATATATATATATATATATATATATATATATATATAAAGATAAATAGATAGGTATGACGAGGCTGATAGATAGATAGATAGAGAGAGAGAGAGAGAGAGAGATATGAGAAGATTGGGATTAAAAGAAAATTTTCTTTTTGCTAATTGTTCACCTAATACAAATCCCAAGAGCCACTCAAGATAGAGTTATAACAAATAAGGTTCTTGCACAGGAAGGGAAGAGCAACATTGATTTACTGTTCACTGTTCAACGACATATCAATCCCTTATTGGTCATTTAATGCTGAAATTTAATTTACTTGGGGCACTGAAGTAATAAAATTATGTTATTCCACTTTCACAGTTGAATACATGGTAGATAATACTCTGCTTTTGTGCATATATATGTTTGTGAGGGCATAATTAGTAGAGGCTGTCATATACCTCTTTTATGTTGGAATTTTGTTGAAGTTATATTTTGGAATACAGTTTGATTTCTTTAAGAAATGTTAGAATAGGATATGCGCTAATATCATGAAAGAGTTCTTTCATGTTGGTTGGTTGATTTTAGCGGCATATCAATATCTGTATGGGTCATTTAAGGCAGAAATCTAAATAATTTGAACACAATGTCATGGCTTCAACTACAGATTAAATTTATTGTTCGTCATTCTAAAAAATATATTGCTGTTCATTTTCCTTTAAATACAGCGTGCGATGGGTATATTGTCGCCATTTTTTTCGCGCATGCGCGTTGTTTTGTTTTACTTTTTCGACTGCACGTTATAGTAGGGACAGTTGGACACCGTTTGTAAGCAAAAGAGCGCCATGAAAAATTTAGGAACGGCATGTTGTACTGCTTGGCAGTCGCGCCGGAATCCCCAATACGAATATTTCAGAGAGTGTTTGGCGGTCAATCTGAGGGCAGCGCAGAGGATTCAGAAAGGA